TCAACCTTTGTTTTAACACATTCTATTATTTTTAACCTTTGTTTTCACACATTCTATTATTTTTCAACCTTTGTTTTAACACATTCTATTATTTTTAACCTTTGTTTTCACACATTCTAACCTTCTATTGATATTCTTTCACTCTTTCAGTAACACATTATTTTATCCTTTTCTTTTTCTCCTTAATTAAAATATAAATTATATTCTTTCAATTTCTCCTTAACACATTCTCTTATTCCTTAATTCTTTCTGTAAAACATTAATTTATTACTTTTATTCTCAACGCATTACCGCTCTATTTAATTACCTTGTTCCTTACTCTAAATTTTATGGAATAAGATTGCAGTTTCTCTACGTTACTCGGTTTGACCTACCTCTACTTAATCTCCATGGTCTCCTTAGAGGCTCTCCTACTGGCCATGCTGAGTTCGAGCGAGATTTATTCAGAGTATCTGATTGGATAAAATCTACCCACACACATATATTCTGGTGAAGCGGATGGAACTCTTTCAAGTTTAATAAGAGTTGGTTAATTAACACGAGAAGTGTTGGACTCCTAGATTGAACAGGATATTACTGATAGATAACGTTTCCTCACGAGGTTTAACCCATAAGCATTGAGCATCTTTGTAAAGAGATAATAAACAGCACGTTATGTTCATTTGAATTCACTCTCCGTGATATTATACGGTGAAGCATTGGGCCCATATGTTAAAATAATTTTTATCAAATCATTTCGTGATGCTAAATTAAGTTAGACTGAAAGGCCACGAGCTAACTAGGGACCAATCAAACTCGTTTGAATGACAGATGGGTCTAAGCTGGAGCAAAAGCTGATATTTAATTTAAGGCGCCAGAAATAAAAGTAAGTCGTGAAAAATCCAACACCTTGATATTGTATAGGATTTCCATCGCTACGGTTGTGACGATAATATAATCTGAGTTATGACCTTTATATTGTGACGAGGATCTGAATGTAATCTTTAGTGCTGCTTGTGTAGTTTCTGAAATGGTGCCTCAAAATTTGTTTTAACTTTTGTCTGTTACCTACTTCAATATTTTTACAACTACTTTTAATTTATCATGGAAAATATACGTAGATTTAGGGTTGCGGAAATTACGTAAATTATATTTATTTGTCTATTTCAGCATTTAATGCAGATTTTGAACTGAGGGGGATCATAGGTGAAGCAGTCAGTTAACAACACCTACCGTCAAATCTTGGGTTATTATGATCAGACCGAATAGTGGGAGATGACCCTTACTCTTACAGCGACCCACGGCTACAAAGTGCAGATCGCGTTTTTGTGATAACAGAACGCGAACCCGAGCACGCTATGTGATGGGCCCCGCCCTGTTCCCATAACTTATGTATGAATACAAATATATAACACTTAATTGGTGTATCGTTACAAATATGTACCATTATTGTTTAAGCAATAATGTCACCGGTGGCTCAGCGTAAGCTTGGGGGTTTAAAAAGGTAAAATTCGGGATTCGATCACTGTGACGGGCACAGCGCAGTCGTCCCATTGAGGAGCTTTGCGTCTGAAGAGACAAACGAAGTAATTAGGGTATCAAAAGGCGAAATAAAGTGTTTAGGTAAAAATCGTTTTTTTTTAATATATATACGTGTTTATACAGAGAAATATCTCAATGTCACATTATTCTGATATCTAACAACGTTTATGCGGGACAAGAGTAGCCAGGAACTTGACCAGTTTCATTTGTCTCAATATTAGTAAAATTACTTCAAAAAAATACTAAATAAGAGGTACTAATAAATAAATAATAATTTGTTATTAATGATCATCCAACGCTCATTTGTAAATGGCTTAAATAAAATAGCTAATAATTAAAATGTTCCCTATTTGGCCCAGTGGTAAATCTGCAGCCCTAAGACGCTAAAAACCGGGTTTCGATACCCGTGGTGGACATAACAGAGATAGTCTATTGTGTAGCCTTGAGTTTAACAAAAAAACAAACAAACAAAGAATAATTACTTAATTATTTAAGTACTTAATTTACGTCACCTCATAATAATTAATGTTCATGCAAGTGTTTATACAAATAGTATCTTGACCAGTAATATATGCCAGCCGGCCTGATGAGTCCTGGTATTAGGCGAAAGACGTCGTCGGTAGTGGATAAGGCAGATGTAGTGTTGTTGATATATCGTTACACATTCTCCTTTGCTTACACTCATAACTTATAACTGTGACAAATGGGCCGAACGTGCCTGACTATGGATCTGCATATCCAATGTTCGTGACCCGTTAACACTCACACAAAACAAAATTTGGAGCGTTATAAGAGTAACGGTCAACTCCTGCAATTCGATCAGAGAAAGAGTAGCCTAATAATTGGCGGTGGGTAATGTTGACTAGCTGCTTTAAGTTTAATCTATCAGTTTAAAATTAGGGACGACTGGTGAAAATACCCCTTGAGTTGCTTTGAGCGAATAAACGGTGAAAATATCATGTTTAAGAAAAATAGGTTTGCCGTGAACTAGGAGTATAATGCAAACTTCCCGGTACTAATTTCTAGAAAATTGTAACATATTTTTACAATATAGTTAGTTTAACTCAGAAGTAACAACTGTAAAGGTCGTAAATTGTTGTAGGCATGCAACAAACGCTAAAACAAATCTTTTCTGATATATGTCACAATTTGGAGAAAAAATAGAGTTTTGAAGAATACTACAAATTATTTTTACAACTATGTATGTTTCCATTTTAGTTTAACAATCATCGTTATATAACTACCATATTCGTTTGATTCAGCTATACAATCATTGTTATATAACTCACCATATTAGTTTGATTCAGCTATACAAACATTGTTATATAACTCACCATATTAGTTTGATTCAGCTATACAATCATTGTTATATAACTCACCATATTAGTTTGATTCAGCTATACAATCATTGTTATATAACTAACCATATTCGTTTGATTCAGCTATACAATCATTGTTATATAACTCACCATTTTAGTTTAATTCAGCTATACAATCATTGTTATATAACTCACCATTTTAGTTTGATTCAGCCTTACAAATTTATTAATAACTCAGTATGTTTCCAGCTAAGTTTGTTTCAGATTTACAAACAAATATTTTTTATAACTCAGTATCTTTCCACCTAAATTTGATTCAATGTTACTATGGACTTTCATCTTAAAGGAGTCAAACCGTTTTATTCTTATTTGAAGATAAAAACGTATCAGTAACATCAAGCTAGAAAAAAAAAAAGCGGGATGCGTAAAGGAAACTGAAACTGTGCGATAACATTTCAAATAAATAATGTCCCAAACTAAACGCTTGCAAGTAGAAATTGCTGAGTTGAAGAAAACTCGAAAGAGAAGTTTTACGTGAGTAGACATCCTCCCCCACTCTGGACACATTCGCTGATTGGCTCCCTCAGGAGGGGTGGGGGAGATGTGACTAAAGACGATAACATCATAGTTCCACAAACTGTAGCCAGACGACGTGTTGTTAGGGTCGTTTT